GTAATTATGTGAATAGGTTAATGTATAAACAGTGTAGATTTAGTATTTATGTGAATAGGTTAATGTAAAAACAGAGTAGATTTTGTAATTATGTGAATAGGTTAATGTATAAACAGTGTCAGTTAAGTATTTATGTGAATAGGTTAATGTTTAAACAGTGTCGGTTAAGTATTTATGTGAATAGGTTAATGTTTAAACAGTGTAGATTTAGTATTTATGTGAATAGGTTAATGTTTAAACAGTGTAGATTTGGTAAATATGTGAATAGGTTAATGTATAAACAGTGTAGATTTAGTAATTATGTGAATAGGTTAATGTATAAACAGTGTAGGTTTAGTATTTATGTGAATAGGTTAATGTTTAAACAGTGTAGATTTAGTAATTATGTGAATAGGTTAATGTATAAACAGTGTAGGTTTAGTATTTATGTGAATAGGTTAATGTTTAAACAGTGTAGATTTAGTAATTATGTGAATAGGTTAATGTATAAACAGTGTAGGTTTAGTATTTATGTGAATAGGTTAATGTTTAAACAGTGTAGATTTGGTATATATGTGAATAGGTTAATGTATAAACAGTGTAGGTTTAGTAATTATGTGAATAGGTTAATGCATACACAGTGTAGATTTAGTAATTATGTGTATAGGTTAATGTATAAACAGTGTAGACTTAGTAATTATGTGAATAGGTTAATGTATAAACAGTGTAGGTTTAGTATTTATGTGAATGGGTTTATATACGGACAGTGTATGATGTGTATGTAAAACAACTCCAAACATTGTTTCCCATTGTGTTCCAAATATTAAACGTTAACGCCAGAGATTAACCAGTCTGTATTAAGGATAAAATATATGGATGAACAACTTCTTTATCACAATTAGGAGTTAGGTTTCGGTGTAGGATCTAACACTGTGATCAAGCAAGTGATGTACAGAGTAACCGTGTTAGAACCGACACATGAACGTCGCTCCTAATTGTAATAAAGAAGTTGTTATATCTTATCCTCACTCAGTACTCCAAACTCTGAAGTCAGTCTATATTATCCGCCGAAACAGATTCCATTTGGCGTGAAAGACAAATTGTGGTGAGAGTTATATGCACTGCATCCCCCCCCCCCCCCCCCCCCCCCCCCACACACACACACACAGCCCGATCCCCTCAAGCCCCACCCACTGTTAACTAACACTGATCCACAAATTGCTCCTATGTCCCATATCGCCATTTTGTTTCGTCATTCACGCATTCACATTACTTTTCGTTCTGAGTACATGGGTTTTAAAGTCCTGTGAACATCACGTGTCGACAGAATTGGCGGGTTTAGTACATGCACGTGGACGTTCAGAGATGAAATAAACTCTGAAATTACATTCTGAAATAGATGCAGTTATTTAGCTGGAATGTACCGTTATCCGAGAACTCATGCATCTCATGAATCAAAATGTACTGATCCGCATGCAATTAATAAAATATTGGAAAATGAGTTTCATATTTCCCAGGATTTTTCTTGCGAATATCTGATTTATTAGCATATAAGAAACTGTCATAGTTAAGTTATAAAAATGTCATTTGTTTGTTTTGTTATATTTCATTGATGACTGATTTATGAAGCACTATATAAATACATAGACGATGAGGTGCTCCCTACAACTATTCTAGATTTTTGAAAATCATCCTCCATCCTCCCCACATGCGGCATCAGTGTGTGATATTAATGTAACCTAGCAACATAGACTGCATGAACGGCAGATAACGTTAACAATTTGAATCTTCTACGAACTTACCAATTTCGATATAAGGAAAATATAAAAGACCCGTAACACCCAACAACACACTTGAACGCTAAATCAGTTTACACTGTGTGTGCCTGCAGATAAATACACACACGGAATTAGACAGAAAGGAGAAAGTCAACTACACAATAATAAATTATCAGCCTTAAAACATAATTGGAAATTGTGTAAATGTACACAAAATATACACACAAATTTAATATGACAGACAAGAGAGAACTTTACACCAAATTAACGCATACTAAATTTTGAATTTAAAATATTTTTTGAATTTTTATATTTCAGAGAATGTGTATCTTTCCCGCAACACACCTTTCATCACCATCCTATAGATGCGCCATTTAGGTTACCATAGTCACCAATTAGTCACTACATCTTGTCCTGAGAATATGACAACATCCGAGACTTTATGCGCAGTGGTGACAGCGCGTTCATATATGCCAGTATATACGGACTATCATCCAAACAGGCATACGGATAATGGTCTATTTGACATAATACGTGAATCTACATCTCGCAGGGGATTGTGTATCGGGCACAGCTGGGCCGTTAATGACGGCGGCGTCAGGACAACCCACACCGATACAGCACTGGTCTGTTGTATTTAACGGTTACATATTGATTTGTTCCCTGCGCTAGCTGATGTCTGATGTTAGAATAACCTGTTTGTAGAATATTGCAGATATTATATTTCATTTAATTCGAATTGTATTTAACGTTTAAATTTTTTAACTACTAAGAACTTATTACGATTTCAAATTTGCAATTTGTTCAAATACCACGTCACAAAGAAAGAAATTTGTCCAATTGGAGAAAATAGTTCATTCGTAAGAGGATAGCAGGTATTTGAACATATTGTATATACTCAATAAATTCTGGTTGCGTCTCGGCCGAAATGTGTGTTTTCTAAAAATTCCTTGCTACTGGTCGGTGAAATAGATAGCATGTGTCGAGACATTGGACAAAAGTTTAAAATAAATTTAGAAAATTGGAACTGCATATTTTGTATCTCGCGTGATATAATACCGGGCAAAAGAAAGTAATCACCTCTGTTTGATGATGGCTAAAAGTGAAGAAACAAGACATGGTTGTTCGATGGGGATGTATTTGATACGGATTTCATTGTTGTGTTTTGGACCTTAAGTTGACAGTGTTTCGGCGACTGTTTTCAGCCAACGTTTTGAAAACGATGGTAATGTTTTGGTCAAATCCAGTTTTCAAGTGTATACTTTCGTTTTCCCGGCGGTATATGTTATAGTGACGCTGCAACAGTCTAGTTGACGCAGTAGATGTACCAATGGCGTATAATTAAATTATTTCCATACTCCAATGACCAGTATGTCGAATTAAAGTCATATTTTTGAGTAAAATGTGTCTGGGTGAAATTTCAGATTGTCTTAAATACACACTGGTATCGCATACGTTATTTCAATTATTTCGTTTTGTTTCGAATGCCGCAAAGAAGAGATCAGGGGGATTTTCATCGTTGTTTTGTCCTGAATTGAACTGACGTGGTGAGCAACGTCATCATTTAAAAAAGGATAGATTGTATATTGTTTTCATTAAAATATATTCATTGTTTAATTTTATGATTCAACACGTGGTGTAAATTTCGCCCCCTAAACAAGGAAACAATGGTCTTTATAGAAACGTTTATATATGAAATATATCAACACTTAACAATCCATGTTGTGTTTCGATATGACAAAAATACAACTTTATATACTTATAGTTATAGTTATATATTCTGTACAACGAATTAATACAACCACGATATTCATCTACTCAGTTAGAGAATACAAACGTTGAAAGTTTGTTATTTTTTAATTTTTAATTTTGATGCTCTAGTGATCTTTGGTAATGTTTTTATCACATCAATACTCAATATGGAAATAGGCTGAATATTGAGTCTGAAAAACTACACACAAAAATATCTGCTTTTTTAATAGACGAATAATTAAAGCTGTTATCCCTTTCTCCGTGTCACGTGGTTATATAAGTACATTTATTCGTGGAATTTTTTATAGAAGCAAAATGTTCGTGACTAACACCACTATTTTGATGTTTACGCCCACTGGAATCTGATGCCGAGTTTGAGTGTTCCAGGGCGTGGATGTTTTATAGTTTACATTAGAACTGAGAGAGTTGTCCAGTGTGTAATACACCATCACATCTGTGATAACTGGAAAGTAACTTATCCTCATCAAGTTACACAAGGGATATCAACACTGAATTAGCACAACCTTTTTTTAAAATGCTATCTTCTTTCACGTCACCTTTCTTTGTTTGTTCACAAACATGAAGTAAACATAATGATGGTGTTTGTTCACAAACATGAAGTGAACATAATGATGGTGTTTGTTCACAAACATGAAGTAAACATAATGATGGTGTCTTAACCAGCGGAAGAGAACATCATCTTGATCTACAGGAGGTGAAATCATTTCTTTCATGTCGCTTACATCACACGGTTTCCAAATTTGTATTTTAAAGAGATTATTTGGGAAGGGAAACTATAGTCCATACGTGACAGAAAGCAATACTAACGGAAGAAAACAAACAAAACAATTAGATAACAATTGGTACATGCACGTGCAAGTCATGCAGCCTGACCCTAATCTGGATTTCATTGTGTAATTTAGGTACAAAGTTCGTAGAAGTGCCAAAAACTAATTAAAAATGAACTATCATTAAACGGAGAAGCTAAATAAAAATGAACTATCATTTAACGGAGAAGCACATTAAATCATGAACGTAATATGAAACGTTTCAATCATCAGACAGTTGAGTTTTAGGGGTAAATACATACGGTTACGGCATGACAATTACGTTTGGGTTAAATTGCATTTCACCGGATCTTTATGTGCCGTGAACAGAATAAAAGCATTTCTAGTTTACAAAAATAAACTGGCATAAGAGATTCAAGGTAAATGATATTCCTTGTTATCCTAGATCTATACTTGTTGGGAAATATTTTTTAAATAATTATGTTTTGCTTTTTTTGCATTTTGTTTCTTAGTTTTGTTTAAAGTAATTTGAGAGATTAATTACGAATATACATGAGACTATACTAAAAACATAAAGTCTAATATTGGCTATTGAGGAACACAACATGTGAATTAAACTGTAGAAATATATGTCTTTTGTTTAACCATGTATCACCCAGATGATGAAGACTGGGGAGGAACACTGAAAAAACTGACATTAAAATAACCATTAATAATTTATTGCCAATCGTTTGCAAACACAAACAAACCATATGCTAACATAGTAAAATACCGTACATGAAATACCGAAAAGATTTGAAAGAAAAATATGTTACATTTATTTCATAAGAAATAGAAATCTAAATTTTTGATTGAAATGCATTTGAGGGATAATCTAGTACAAATAATGAGCATTATTTTTACTTAATTATATTTAATAAATGCACAATTAGAACCGGAAAAAATTGTTGTTCTTTCGTTCAAATATAAAGACTTATTTTAAAACGTGAACGACACATTTAAAATAAATCTTTGATTGTTCAAAACGACATGATTATAATGTTGATATCATAACATTAACAAACCTATGTCATCAACACACCAAATGAATAAAATAGAAAGAAAATTGAATAAGATGGCACTAAAACTGTACTTCCTTTTCAAGATGACAAAAAACGTCTGTAATCCGCAAATCGTTCCCAGTAAATATGCTCCAAGAATGTAACGGAAAATAAATGTCAACGATAATCCAACGTGTATGAATGCAATGCTGACTGAAAGTTATCCGGAACACGCAAACACATTTTAATGCTGAAAAACCGTTATGCACATTGCCACATAAAGGTGAGCTGTGTTGTTGTCACTGTTTCGGAAAGCTTATTTTAGAACTCTGAGAGCAGTTCAAAGTATCCTTCCTCTTTGCATCCAAGGAATAGTTGTGACATCTCAACGTCTTACTCAATGATCACAGATACAATTACTATTTGTCGTCTTCTCAGCTGATATCATTGATTTCATATTCAATTTTCAAACTTTTCAAATGACGCACGCCGTGAGTTGTTCGTCACAATCCCAATACGTTTACATTTTACAAACCACACTCGTAACTAAGAATTAGTAGTTCTATATTTCTATTCGTCCCCGTTTGATTCATATTCACTGAATACTTCCTCGTCGTTGTTGGCATTGCCCTCATCAACGTTAGACTCGCCAGTCGAATCGAGGCTGAAACCCGATTCCTGCTGACAAATCGCTGAGGGCGGTTGCCTTCGCCCATAATCGCTAACCGTTTGATTCCTGTAGATATTCAATTTAATATCATCCGGGCTCTTCCCGTTTACGATCTCTGTCATAAAAGCTATGTAGGCTATAGCAAGACGTAGCGTTTCAATCCTTGATAGACGCTTCTCGTAAGCAAAAGTCGGAACTCGTCTCCTCAGAGAATCAAAGGCTTCGTTGAGGTTAAACATCCGGCGTCGTTCCCGTACGTTGGCCGCTCGGCGTTGAGCGACGGTCGGTAAACGACGTTTTCTTGAACGTACGTCCAGATCACTTCCGTCGTTTTCTTGTATAAAACGAGAACCGGGGTTGATTTGTGAGTGCTGGGCAGCGAGACCCGGGTTCTGGACAACAAGACTGTGGTCAGTCCATACGTACGCCTGGGGCACCAGGGGGTACGTGGTGTGGACTGGAGAGTAGCCATTGACGGACAACTGTTCACTCCTTGTAGGAATCATGGCAGCAGCGTAGGGGTAGATCTCCGTGTATACGGCCGGAGAGGTCTCGCGAGGACCTTCAACTGACGTCAGTAAATTGTCTCCGTAGTAGTAACTCATATTCGTTTCAACTCTGTCGTGTCACTCACGCCAAATATCTTCCCTCTTGGCGGCCATTATTGCTCAATAAAGTCTTCGCTGGCTTCATTTGGTCGCGCCACGCAGGGCGAGGGGTGCGTTTTATTTTGACACTTCTAGTCAGTAAGAGCAATTGATATAAAACTATCGTTGATTAACGAGAAGACGACCGCGTTTAATAAAAATCTTGCAAATGTTCTCCGTGGTGCTGACTTTGCCTCAAAATTGATAAGTTAAGACAATGGGAAGACGATCGAAGCAGAATACGTTGGGCGTCAAAATTCACAATCGGAATACGATTAACGGAAAATTAGTTTCTGAAGACCGTCCAATGTTATTAATCTCCGCCGTTTCTGTATCTAATTTAAACAAATTGCATCCCGTTCGTCTTCAAACTGGTTAAAATGTCTTTGATTCTCTGGCGATTCACTGCCGCTGTGGTATTTGATGACAGTCCACTCCTTACAGCCAAAACGTTCAATGTAATAACTTAACCTTGGTGTTGACGCTTCACGAAATCGAATGTGTCCGGGGTTTCTGCCCTTCGAAGAAACGGCTGTAATGTTTCAGAACAAATGTTTCAGTATTGTTTCAGACGGATCTACACATATGAAAGCATGATAAAGACCATCTCACTATGATCGGCACCTAGACTGGCCAACACTTATTCGGAAGAGCCTGTGGTGGATGTTTTGGAGACAGGGCACGGCTGATATCCTTCGGTGTTTAATGACAGAACATAAGTGAAAATCTGTTTGGTGCAGATCACAATTTATATACATATGGACTTGCCTAGGAAGCAGAAAGCTGTCGCCATACAAGTACGAAATACTAGGAGTTATACTAAGTGACAGCTTGGGCCGTTGCTGATGACAGACAACGTGTTTCACACTTTTCAAACTTCCCTTATCACAAAAAAATCTTTATTAAAGTATAAAATCTGAAAATTGACAAAACAGTTGATGCCTCAATCTGATTTTCCGTCGAACAATGCCAATGAGGATATAGCGTCGTGATCTGGGATGGCCTTTTGGGCCAGCCGTTTTGGTGTGATAAAATAATTACTCCAGCGTTTATATTCTGCCAGATGTTGTTTTAACTATAATGATATGGGTATATGGTGAACATATATCTAAAACTATCTCCCGATGTTAATCGAGATCGATAAATCACAGGACCGTTACGTTACCATGGAAACGGAAGAATTTATTACTCTCTCATATTTGCTTTCGCTTGATATAACGTTGAATATTCAATTTTGATATAGTGACAGGTGTTGGTCTATACATATATGCATTATAGCGTTATGGATCGAGAAGTCGACATTGAGTTTATATTGAATATTACTACAATGTGCTCCAGCTAACAATGAACTGCCTGAGGTGTAATGTTTGACTAGAGGTAAAAGGTCTGTAGTGTACTGGGTGTGTGTAGCACTGTCGATCAAGCTGGTTGACATTAAGACACCAGGTGTCACAATGGCGGTCACCAGGACACCCGTGTGCACAACACACATACACACATATCTGGAAATGTGAACCGTTGGGTGTATTTGTGCAACTGGCTGATTAGTTGTGAGTAACCTGCGGGGGATCTGTTAACACTTCTTAATGATATATTGTCTACGGTGGTATCTACAGAGGCGTAACATTGAGGGCACGGTTGTGTTACGTTCAGAAAAAGAACAAGTGTAAATAAATCAGCTTGAAAATCATGTAATACATGGTGGCTTAACATAAATAATATAAGACGTCAACGTCAGAGAATATCAAGTCTCTCTCTTTCTCTCTCTCTTTCTTTCTCTTCCCTTTCTCTCTGTTCCTCTCCCTCTCTCTTCTCTCTCTCTTTCTCTTCCCTTTCTCTCTCTTCCGCTCCCTCTCTCTTCTCTCTTTCTCTTCCCTTTCTCTCTGTTCCTCTCCCTCTCTCTTCTCTCTCTTTCTCTTCCCTTTCTCTCTCTTCCCCTCCCTCTCTCTTCTCTCTTTCTCTTCCCTTTCTCTCTCTTCCTCTCCCTCTCTCTTCTCTCTCTCTCTTTCTCTTCCCTTTCTCTCTCTTCCCCTCCCTCTCTCTTCTCTCTCTCTCTCTCTCTCTCTCACACACACACACACACACCACCACCACTACAGACCTCCACACCACAACCCACAGCCCTAACACCAGGACCCCCCTCATATCCTAACACTGCCACATATCCTAACACTGCCACATATCCTAACACTGCCACATATCCTAACACTGTCACATATCCTAACACTGCCACATGTCCTAACACTGTGACACACAAATTAAGTTCCCCAGCACCTAAGCGACCCAATACACCCCATGAACCAACCCACACCCACGCACCCTTCCCCACCCCCAGCCCCACCCCTTCCGCGCGTCTACCCTGGAGTCAGTTACACTCGACGGCAACAGCCACCCACCTGCTCAACAGCCCTGGAAACCCCCGTGCCTCCCCCCCCCCCCCCCCCCCCCCCCCCCCAACCCACCAACCCAACCACCCACGTGACTCCCAGCTTAACCTTCCTCACAAAACAGTTCCTTCTGACAACCAGGGCTCCTCAATGACGTCACCGCACCTATCAGATCACGGACTCCGTGAAAGGACCTCAAAGCATATTGTCAAAACACCCCCCGCATTTATGGTCATACACCACAACATCCGCCACCCACCCCCTCCAGCACCACCGTATCGGGTGTCCCCCGACACCAACTCCCGACCCCCTATAGGTGAACGCCCAACCGCACTTCCTCCACTGCCATCCATCGTTGACGAAATCCAGTCTGGCGATGAGGAAATGACGTCAAAGCACACCTGTTGAAAGTTATAACAAATCACTGAGCGCCGTCCCGTCTCCCCACCCATACAGCTAGCGGAGCCACCCCAGAGCGTGTGTCTGTGACCCGATACAGGTAGGGGCGAGAGCAATTAAGGCGGTTCCCCCCTGGCCCACCTGCATGAAGTGGGACCCCCCTCCCAGGTGGCAGGTACAGGATCTACAGCCCTATTGCCATTATTGTCCAATTACGCTAACTCTCCGGCTTTACCATCTTCGTTTCCCATCGGTGACTCGGGTTCTGTGACTGCCTGTCCTTGAGGACAGGTAATGATAGGTCGGAGCTACAGACCCTTGGACAATTATCGAGCGGGGAGGGGCAGACGCTCTAAAGACGGGTACAGTATGTTCCGATTGATCGTAAGCGTTTTAAGTATAGGTTATAATGGCCGCGGTGCGGTTAGAACAGAGATCCGGCGTCACGTTCCCTCGCAGACACGCGCCTTGACGGATCGTCTTTGAGGGATGCTGAAAAGAAAATTGCAGTATTTGGGGCGATAATTATAGAGGGAACCCCTCTGGTTTTGATATTGCGTTTATTTCAGTATAATTATTCTATCAAACTGTTAAATTAACCATTTTAGCCTGACGCAACGTAAGAAGCCCTGTCACGCTTTTGCCGAGATGTTTGACAACTTCTTTAGGGAGTGTGAGGTGTGGGCCATTTTCTCTGGTTACACGTTTAGTTAAATTTTTATGGGCACGTTTTGGACATACACAGTCTTTTCTAAGCTGAAAGGTAGGGGGTAGAGGTGTTGGGTGCTGGGTTGGGGTGATGGGGTCTGTTTGGGGCTGGGGTGGGTGTTGGGGGGTGGGACACGCACTATGGCGTCGTGTGTATGGTGCCACATGCGAAATTAAGACATTGGCTGTGTGTATTCAGGGTTATCATTAACCGCTAAATGTATAAACATCCAACTAGTGGGGAAGGCTGTTTTGTGACAATGTGAATGGATGTTTAAAAGAGCAGTGTAGACTTGATATGTTCAAATTTGATTTTTTTTAATGAGGCCAACAAAAGGGTATGGTTTTTAATTAAAATCGTGATTATATCTAAATTTCCTGTTGCTAGGCGCGAGCTGGTTCACTAGACTCCAAACTCGCAGAGAGCCGGGCCCCGCTACTGATGGGTTCGAATTCCGGGTTCGCCATCATCGTCAGCCAAGGACATGATCAAACTATTATCACATGATCCGAACTGATAACTGTAAACCACTATAGCCTACACTATGCTATCTCTGTACAGCGGTGTGTGGCCAGGACAGGGGCAGCTCACCTCCACGTTGTCTACATTTTACCAGACATTGTATTCTCAACGGAGAGGGGCGGTCGGGTAGCCTAGTGGTTAAAGCGTTCGCTTGTCACGCCGAAAACCCGGGTTCGATTCCCGACATTGGTACAATGTGTGAAGCCAATTTCTGGTGTCCCCCGCCGTGATATTGCTGGAATATTGCTAAAAGCGGCGTAAAACCATACTCACTCACTCACTCACTCAACGGAGAACTGGTGAATATCGATAAGGTGGTCGTATGTTCAGACTGAGCATGTTTTCTGAATTTTACCAGACGTTGTATATCAATGACAATGAGAAATATTCTCAACGGAAAGCTGCTAAATATCTAGGAAATCGTCGAATGTTCAAACTGAACATGTTTTCTAAACTTTGCCAGACATTGCATATCAATGACAATGAGAAATATTCTCAACGGAAACCTGCTATATATCGAGGAAGTCGTGGAATGGTCAAACCGAACATGTCTGAATAATTGACATGCCTCTGCATGTATTTGTGATCAGTGCCACCGGTAGGGTAGAATACGCACACCTTTTCGCGAACCTTTTTAATGAACTTGTATCATCACTTTTTGATAGCAATTCATAAACATAAGCTCATGATATGGTCGGAATCGTACAATAGACTCAATAGGCTGATATTTCTCATAAATAAGGAAAGGGTTTTGTCGCCTTTTTTACATGAACCAAGTCGATTTACCTGCTGGTGGACATTATGTCCTTCAGACATATCACTGACAAGGAAGTATTTGACAGATGGTGGACGAACAAATGAGAACGTTTGGGCCGAGACAATACACTTGCCCCCCTTTACAGCTAAATCAATTGTGCACAAAACCTTTTGAAGACCTATCATGTCAAACTAAAGACGTCCCACGTCGCATTGGTGTACCCTTTGTGGATTGATTTATGTTGGAGAGTGAGTGAGTATGGTTTTACGCCGCTTTTAGCAATATTACCGCAATATCATGGCGGAGGACACCAGAAATGGGCTTCACACATTGTACCCATGTCGGGAATCGAACCCGGGTTTTCGGCGTGACGAGCGAACGCTTTAACCACTAGGCTACTCCACCGCCCCTTATGTTGGAGGGACACAACAGACATTGTCAACACGGGTCAGCCAGCATACATCGGGCATCAACAGAAATGTTTCCAATTGCGTCCACCAACATTTCATTTCTGAAAATCACTCCATCCTTTGCATCCTCAAGTCTTTCCAACCAACGAACTGGCAGCGTCAGTGTATTGTTTCCCGGAACCAGCACCCATGGTAACAAGTACAGTAAACTACGGTTATAACGAACTCAAAGGGACCACTTATTTTAGTTCGTTATAACCGTAATTCGTTATAAGCATATATACAGCATAACTACAGCATATAGTCGGGACTAAGAAGTTAGTTCGTTATATCCGTTAGTTCGTTATAAGCGTGTTCGTTATAACCGTAGTTTACTGTAAGTTCAAAGGCCAAATTATACCATATACATTCGGAAGATTTGTTGCCTCTCCTTCAGGAACCATTGGGACTGCACAGAGTAGGAACAAGACTTACTTTGTGTCACTGAAAGAAATTAAACGACTCCAGCTACTTTTGCTGATCGATGGGTCTTCAAACAGTGAGAGCCCACAGTATCGACTA